ATAATACGTAGATAAATCAGAGGAGTTTGCAGTTATAGACAAGGTGAGAGACATGATGAAAATGATTTAAATAAAAGACATGCGTAACATTTATACGTATTTATTCCAAAATTTCCAAAGATATTCCAAACATAAGTGTCCACAGTTAAATGTATCAAATTGTTGAAACCTAGTATAATTATAAAAAACATTACAATTTTTAAAGTACTGCATTAATTCCATTGGAGGTTTCAAATCCCCATAGCTATCAAAGTATTCACAATAATTGTTTATTTTAGCATAAGCTACCCAATGCGTTCCTTCATTTCGTGAATCGTCTAAGTTGACGATAGCACATTCAATGCGTTTTGGTGTTTTTGGTAACCGATCCTTCATATACACTCCTCGAAAGTAAGGAATGTCACGTGCATGCTTACTGATATCAATATTAGTTAAAGGACGATTAGGTAGCCTTTCATTCAGTTTTTTGGAGGTTTTATAAACAACCCTTTACCGCTTTTATGGGGTTTAATATATAACCCTTTGCCCAACGCTAAAGCTTCCATGGTCTTGTTGTGTCGTTCCGTTTCTTGCAAGCTTTTTTGGGCAGCCTTGTATTCGTTTACAGTTTTTGCAATACCGGCTGCACCACCCGCTAAACTTCCTAAAGCAGATAATCCAGCGAAAATTGGGATTAAAGGTAAGACTCCTCCTGTCTTTGGTATGGGTATAACACGGGGTATGCGAATCTTCTGAATGTCTGGAAATATCTTTTTCGCAGCTGAGTAAGCAACGTTGATTAGTGCTTTACTGTTTTTAGGTTTTAGTTTTTTAATTTGTGACTTAATTTTTGACACAAAAGCATTAAATGTTTTAATACCGGCTCCTGACTTTAGTTTGGCTTTCATAACCTTGCTCACTATCCATGAACTAAGTTTTTCACCTTTCCCTGCATCTTTTGATTTTAGTCTTTGTTTAGCCATATTTAAAAGTTGTAAATCAGCTTTGTGACGATTAGGTAAGTCTGTGTGATTTGCATATGCGATGTCGTGATGCATACAAGCTTCATCTAGTTTATTCACACCCCGATCACCTCGCAGCAATCGTTTCTCAAGTTTTGTTCCCGGTCCACAATAGTTATACCCAGGCAAATGAAGTTCGAATGGTAGATTATTAATCACACTGTTGACTAGTCCACTGCCTTGCATAGTAGTCAGTGAAATGAATAAAAAAATCCTTACGAGCTTGGTTATATATTCATAATCCTAACCCATAATTGCATCTTTATCAATCCAACTATTTTCTTCGTTGCTTAAGCCCAACCATTTCACGTAAAGTTTCTTTCCTTTCCTTTGAAGAACCTTTTCTATCAAATAAACACCTGGATAGCTAGTTTTTTGAAGTTCTTGTTCGTAGAAACAACCTCTAATGGGTTGCTTTCGATGATCTTCTAAACGATATGTTACTGGTATGGTATTATTAATCCTTTTTACAGTAAATACTTCGGTTGACCAATTAGGCGTGTAACCTTTGTCAAAAATGTGTTTGTATTTACTGATCCGAACATTTTCACCCACTTTGAATTTAGGACAACATTGTCGTGAAGTTAGTTTTTGAGATTTTTGAATATTTTCTTTTATCTTTGACTCGTTCAACTTATTTACCTCGAATGGTTTGAATTTGATGGTGCGATGTTTTGTACTATTATAGGTTTTTACAATAACTTCTAATGGTGAACCTAACCATTTATAGTTCCCAATAAAACTAAAGTATTTATACATTTTATTTTTAATTGTTTTAATTACCCGTTCTACAATTGAAGCTTTCGTGGTAGAAAACGTGGAGTAGTGGTTAATATTGTAGCTCTTCATAAGCTTTTGGAATGTAGTGTTATAAAATTCTGTTCCAGAATCAGTTTGTAAATTATCAGGTTTTCGTTTGCTGGTAGTTAGTATTCGCTCAAATGCACGAGAAACATCTAGTTTACTTTTGGATTTTATTGGTTCTGTCCAGGTGTACTTTGAGAAACAATCAATCACTACTAAAATGTAACTATAACATTTATTAAACTTTTTTAGGTTTTGCATATCTATCAGATCAGCTTGCCATAAGTCATCTATACCTTTTATAATAACTGAACGTCTAACAAAATTTCTTCGTGCTGCTTTGTGTAATTCATTAACAATTTGTTGTTTTACCATCATGGAGAGTTTTTAGATAATTTTTGTACTTCCGCTTTGTTATAAAACTTATCCTCCAACTGGATTAAAATGTCAGGTATCTTCGCTTTTAAAGTAGCTTGGACCGTTATTTGTGCTTCTTTTATGATTTGAGCACGCAACAACCCGATCATTCTATTCTGCTCCTTTATAGTCTGATCGCACAATCGATCAACGTAATCCTTGTTGACGGCATCATCTGGATCTACAGGAGATCTGATTCCTCTCAATCTACATTTTTTCAAGTCAAAATCACCACTTTCCGATTTTAGCAATGCATTTCCATTGAACTCTAATAATTCAGAGAAACGCATTCTCTTATGAATATGGTGACCGAATTTATCTACATTCATATTTTAGTTGTATTATATTTAAAGGTTGATAGTAAAATGAACAGCAATTTTTTTTTACCATTTATTTATTACTTAATATATTTACTTTCACGTAGTTCTTCAATAATAGATATAATTTCGTTGTCTAATCCAGTGTTACCAGCGTCTCGAGATGCAATCAATAATTTTAACCTATCCACAAGTTCATTAGGATCATCCCAATATATAAAATCTGTATCTTTCTTCCACATTTTTGTCAAAGGTAGCCCTTTTCCTTTTGATTGATTGTTTTGAATAGCAGTTGGCGGTTGAAAAAGAGGTTTTATGACTTGCATATATTTTTGTCCCTTATTACTTTTTATTGGTTTGTTTGAGTCAAAGTCTCGACGATGTGCGTTTGTTGTAATCAACATCATTTTATAATTCTGCAGATCAGATTCTTTAATCATGCTCAAATCTACGTCCTTTTTTAATAACAGTTGTCTTAGTCCAGGAGTGCTTGGATATTTCCGTCCAGCGACGGTGATATAATTGTCACTGATCGTTATGACAGCAGAACCTAACATCAGTTGTCCTTGCGCCGTACGAACACCAAACGGGATATCTGTAAGTGCTTCTGAAGATATTGACCAGGATGATGTATTTGTCTCTGGATTGTTGTCTCCCAAGGATTGGTACGACTCGTCACTGTCTGTATAACATTCATTTTCTTCCACGTCACTTTCTCCTCCGTTTATAGTATAGTCTTGTTGCAATGTATCGTTTTTGCACGGAATTTTTGTTTCTTCAACTTCTTTAGATCGCAAGGGGTCAGTTTGCTTATTGCTGTTAGCAATTAAATTAAGAGACTCTGTTACAGGTCTAAAAACTGATTCTAATGCCTGCTTATTCTCAGTGTCAAAATCTCGCATTTTTCGTATTTTTTTCTTTACAGCTTCTGCAGCATCAACAATTTGTATTTTCAATGATTTTTCCATAACGGTAGACTATGATTGTTATCGCTTAAGAGTCGGTCAAAGAGTAATGATATCAAGTAAGCATCATAGTCTTAAATATTTGTATTTCTAATCAAAGACTACAAATGTATCAAATTTATTTCTATAACATCCGTTATTTTTATTACAGTCTTTATTAATTACAACATAATTAAAGGGTTCACTCCATATTTTAGAACACATTTCTCGAAATTCAAGCCATGTCATATCAGTGTTAACATGTTCTTCATAAACATGCCTCAAGTTAATATCATCTTGTTTAAATAATACTATTAAATTAGCATTATCTCTTACTAACTGCTTAGGGATTTTGCTATATGTTTGATTTAGATAAAAACAATCGATGTGTTTATGCCTCCCCATTGCGAAATAATCACGCATGTTAGTTTGATTCTCGCAAGCAACGTCATCGAATATAATTACAGAGTTGGGTTTTGCGTCCTGAACGCTTATAACTTCCTCGTTCCCTTGATATTTCTGGAGTGAGATATTTGGTACCCGTTGTAATACTTTTTCTAAAAAAATGTACTTTGGTTGGTGTAAGGTTTTTGAATAAACATAAACATTTTGAAACCGTAAACCATTTTCATGTATAAGAAGTCCAATAAGTAAATTAGTTTTGCCACAATTCGATGGTCCGCAAATAATACATCGTACTGAATTAGGTAACAATTCTCCATGACGCAAACTAGTTTTACAAAAGTCACCGCAAATCGTGCCTACATGCAGCGATTGTGGTTGTTTAACAAATTTCATGATTTCTGTTGTCAACGAACTGATTAGTAATGAGTAAAATTTTACTTCCACAATCTTTATAAACTTAAACAGCCTACCTAGCTACTATCTATTTTACGTTCATTTATCGGAAGTAAAATAACTTGAACTATCGTTGGTCGAGTAGAGAGTCGAGTCGCTTATTGGTTATTGGGCATTCTATTCCACTATCGGTAGCGAGGCGCACTCGCCGAGCGACTTGCCGATAGTGGAATAGAATGCCCAATAACATACTACTGGTTTGGACTTCCGATTCACGCGGCGAAACACAACGCTGTAGTTGTTTCACGCCGGTTTTCTGTGAGGCCGTGGTATCACTGCGGTCGAGTCGAACTTGTGTGCTGTGCTGTCTGTAACTCACTCAGTACCGGGTGTTTTTTGTGAGGGAAAAATTATCAAAATGGGAGGACACAAAGAGGGAGTGCCAGACTCTTCCTGACTAAAAACCCCCCTGTTCCTTCTCTTGCTCTAGGCCGAGGCTGCGGTGCCTCATTCCGCTTACCCCGCAACCCCGGCTGAACATCAGCCCTATAGGGCCCCGTCTGTGTAGTCTATTGGCTCTTTGCGTCGCGCGCGGAACGCTACGCGCCGTACGCTCGGGTCTGGTTCTGGTCGGGCAGCGAGCTACCCTTACTCGCCGACCGCAGACTTGCGTTCAGTCACACGGTAACTAGAGAAAAACATACTATTTAAGTACTTACCGTATTTCTCTCCAAGACCAGTGACGTCATAATACTTGAACTGTTTCCCGTCGATCTGGATAGTCTTCAGAAGGTGTTGGTAAGGATTGTTCGTGGCTGGAAGAAATAGAGAAAAACAATGGTTATTTAACGTAATGATGGACCGGAGGTGTTAAAAACCTGGCAAGTACCAATGTGACTTTTTCCGTGTTATATGTACTTTCTATGATTATTTAGACACCACTGACATACGGTGAAGGTAAACATCGTGAGGAAACCTGGACTTGTAATTTCTAATTATAAGTTTGAAATCGCCAATCCGCCTTAAGCGAGCGTGGTGGTTAAAGCTCAAACATTCTCCGTGTGAGAAGAGGCCTTTGCTCAGCAGTGGGCACTTATAGGTTGCTGATGATGTATTGGAGAATAAAAAATTGTGTACAAATGTCTCCTTACTGAGGGATACTATCTATACTAACATTATAAAGAGGTAAAATTTGTAAGTTTGTATGTAGGGGGTAATCTTCGAAACCGCTGGTCGGATTGCCAAAATTCTTTCACTGATAGATAGCTACAATGTTCCTGAGTGCTATAGGCTAAAAACATCACGCTACGATCAAATGGAGCCGAGCAGCGGGTGAAACCGCGTGAGAGTAGCTAGTTACATGTATTACTGAGAGAAAATAACCAAATGTCACCTTTCCTCCATTTGTTTTCAATTAAATGTTACACAGCATATAATAAATATTATATTTTTGATAATTACTCGCCTCACATGACCGACAAATGTATATCTTAATCGTTTATACATATAAACTAGCACCCCGCCCCTTCTTCGCACGTGTTTTTTTTTCTTGTGAGGGGAAAATCATCAAATGACTTCTCCCGCCCAAGGCCGGGCGGGAGAAAGTGTCAGACTCTTACTGACTAAAAACCCCCCTGTTCCTTCTCCTGCCCTTACTCGCCGACCGCAGACCCGTGCTTACGGTGGCCGGAATCGTCCCTTGATCCCCGACGCCCGTAGTGTCGCCAGTTGCGGCGGCTGGGGCGTGAGGAGGAGGATTGCTCCCTCACGCGGGCCGCCTCTCTCTTTGCGAGCATGACAGCTTCACAAAAGGAGGAGACGGCGTCCCATATATATATACAACCTCCGGCAGGAGGCGTTTGATCCCCCGAGGTTGGGATGGAGCCGCTTGAGCGCGGCCCCAGACCGTTCCAATTTAGGAGCCAAACGACGAAAATGCTCCGTGAAGTTCCATCGGCTGTCGAGGACGAGACCAAGGTACTTCATCGCCGACTCGACGCCGATGGTAACTCCTCCTGCCGTTACTTGGGACCCACCTGGAGGTGGCGCGTTCCGACGGCCATAGAAGCACATGGCCTCGGACTTGTGGAGCGCCACCTCGAGTCCCAACTGCCGGATCCTTGCAACGACTGTCGCAACCGCTTGCGACATCAGGTCGGCCGCCGCCTGATGTGACCTCCCATTCTTCGCACGGGTGAAATGTTGATACAAAATGTCTCCACTATTTAATGGATATCATTAAACAGTGCTACTCTGCTCCTACGGATCGTAGCGTAATGTTTTATAGCCTATACGTAGCCTTCCTCAAAAATGTACTAACAAATACAAAAATATTTGTTCAATTTCAACCAGTAGTTCCGGAGATTAACGAGTTCAAACAAACAAACAAACTCTTCAGCTTTATAATATTAGTACTTATAGATAACTCCACACTTTAGTAGATTTTACACATATAAACCTTCCTCTTCAATCACTCTGTCTATTAAAAAACCGCATCAAAATCCGTTGCGTAGTTGTAAAGATTTAAGCGTACATAGGGATATAGGGACAGAGGAAGCGACTTTGCGACTTTGTTTTATACTATGTGGTGATTAACAGTTGTGTAGTTTCCTAGATCAAAAATAAATTAATTCAACGTTTCAATACTATAAAATATTGAAAAATAACTATACTTTTAATCATCGATCGATCAATACTTGACTGCACGGTTGATGCGGTGGCTGGGCAACTGGCTGCCGTGCAACGTGTCGCGGGTTCGATTCCCGCACGGAACAACTCTTTGTGTGATCCACAAATTGTAGTTCCGGGTCTGGGTGTGATGTGTATGTGAAATTGTATGTCTGTAAACGCACCCACGACGCAGGAGAAAATCGTAATGTGGGGCAACGTCTTTTAAAATAAAAAAAATACACTAAGTTTGAGATATTTCGTAGCTAATTATTAAAAAATAAGTAAGCTATTTGATGTTAAAATACTATGACGTCATAACCCCGTTTTTCATACAAGTTACATAGAAAAGTATAGTTTTTGACATTTGGATAAAAGTATTGAATTTGACTAGTTGGAAACTAGGTACCGTATTAATATTATATCAGAATTGTTTGTGAATAACTTAGAGTTGTACTTTGTACTCTGTAATGTGATTCTGTTTGTATAATGACACAATATCGTGTTGAAGTGTCAATTTCTTAGACGCCATTTTCTTTTTTTATGTCTTTTTTTATCTGGCCGAATAATGAATACCATCGGCGTTCCTTTTTTGAAATAATGTTTTGTGTGTTTTTTATGAGTAACGATTTTTTTTTTTTTTACTTGCTATAAACTAGTGCTTGACTGCGATCCTACCTGATGGTAAGCAGTGATGCAATCGTTGATGGTAAGGCGCACTAGTTTATTAAGAGCCTATTCACTCTAGCCTTGAAGACACCTAAATTGTATTCGGACGGAAAGACTGCAGCCGGCAAACTGTTCCAATCCCTCGATGTACGCGGTATAAATGACGAGGCAAAACGCTTAGTCCGGGCCGCAGGTGTCTCAACAACGTAAGGGTGGATATTTGCCGTACGCCGGGATGTCCGAAGGTGAAATGGGGATTATTTTGGGATTGGGAATTATTTTTCTTATTTTTGTGTAGAAAATCTTAAATCTTTAAAACTACGCAACGGATTTTGATGCGGTTTTTTAATAGATAGAGTGATTGAAGAGGAAGGTTTATATGTATAATGACATCCATTAAATTGTGGAGGAATTTAGTATCAGCATTACATCTGCGTGAAGGGTATAAATACTAAATGTAGGTAGGTATGTGTATTTATACATTTTACTAGCTATTCTCGCGCGGTTTTACCCGCTGCTAGGCTCCTACAGATCGTAGCGTGATGTTTTATAGCCTATAGCACTCAGGAACATTGTAGCTATCTATCAGTGAAAGAATTTTGGCAATCCGACCAGCGGTTCCAAAGATTACTCCCTAAATACAAACTTACAAATTTTACCTCTTTATAATATTAGTACGGATAAGTCTGTCAGTCTTGTCTGTCTGCTTGAAGATAATTAGGCAAGAAAAATAACATGTCAAGTGAAATGTTTTCCTTTATCTAAAGAGTTAAAGACTTGTTTTTATAATAACTATAGTGAGACATACTAAATTAACTTAAAATCGCAGGTTACTCACGTGTATATTGAGAAAAGGTCTATCTGGTCTGGGTGGTGTGTGTAAGAGAATTTGTATGTTTAAAAAAAAAAAGAAAACATTATTGTTCTTGACTTGCAGCCCTGACATTGTAGTATAGCTACTGTTTACATTCAGTGTGTACTTGTGTAGGTATGGCCTTCAAAACCTTATAGTTACTAATATTATAAATGCGAAAGTAACTCTGTCTGTCTGTCTTTTCTTCATGCCTAAACTACTGATTCTATTTCTGTGAAATTTGGTACAGACATAGTTTGGAACTCGAGAAAGGACATAGGATAGTTTTTATACCAAAAATCTGCATGAAGTCAGTGTTCTATGCAAACGGAGTCGGGGGCAGAAGCTAGTTACAAATAATCCCAGTTGATCATAACCAGGGTCACAAATGGAATCAAAGTCCTGGTTGCTGATCCAAGACTAATTAAGAATTAATTTCCTACAAAAAAAATATTATTGAAACAAAAAACTATTTTAGTCAGTAAAATGTGCAGTACTTTTTTAAACATGAATATATTTTGCCTTTTATAATAATGTGTGTTTACAATACAAATCTTACAGATACAGTAGAGTGACTGAATAAAAAAACCTAGATTTATTTTTCAGGGACAGCAAAAAGTGTAATTACCTACTAGGTACACTGAAAAAAGACTACATACCTATCTAGCAACCCTAAAAATAATGCATAATGCATAATTTTTTTTTATAAACTGCTATTTGTGAAGTGTTAAGATCTGATTAAAAAAGCGTTGCAACTTGCATTAGAATTCTTATTGGATTCTTGATTTTATTTTTCGTTGCAAAATTGTTCCAATGGTCTAACTAAATAGACGCGTATAATTTCCGCTCGCTTGGCACTCATCGTGAGAAAATTCATATTTTTTAATGACAGAGTTCATTATATTAGATAGTTATTTCGTCAATACAAGTTTCTATAACCTGTTGCTTTTCTACTTGACCTAATGAACGGTAAACTGGTAAATATTTTTCATTTTTGACGTCCAAGATCGTGCTAATCTAGTTGGTATAACATTTGCGTTAACAATATTATAAGTAATTAAATTTATTACATAAACAAAATTGACGATAAAATTCTTATCAGGCAACGCATTTCAAAGTTTTCACAGGTAGATACTAAAAACTTCATCGAAATACTTAAAAGTTTCATAAATGTTGTACTTATAAATCTCAAGAACTCACCGGCCATGATAGTTTTTTAACTTTTTTTAGCCACTTATCGAAGGCACAAGCACACTCCCGAATCCCGATTGTGGAAAACGGTATTTGAATGGAAATTAATACAAAATCTACGTCACGATTTATAATCAACGCAGCACACGGCGTTTGATTGATCTGACACTGACACACTTTGACACAAACCTGCCGGGTTGCGTAATGTCAGAAGTGTGATACCTACATGAAAATTATTTGAATTCTACCAGGGTCAAAATTTTGGCTACGTGTTACCTTGCACGTATGCTCTTAGAAGTTGTCAGTCTTAGATATTGAGTAAATTTTAAACTGCATAGTGTATCTGAAGGTTCAAAAAGGATTATCTCATTTTATTTTCATTGAAAGACTTTGATTTTTTTATAGAATAGATCGGCAAACGAGCAGACGGATTACCTGATGGTAAGCAATCAGCGCCCCCCCATGAACACCCGCCACATCAAAGGAATTACGAGTGCGTTGCCTGCCTTTTAGGGATAAGGGGTTTGGTTATTTAAGGATTGGGAAGGGATGGGAGAGGGGGTGATTGGGCCTCCAGTAACCTCATTCATACGGCGAAACTCAACGGTTGATAAAACTCAACAAAATTAATTCTTGCAGCGTGCTTGAATTTTATATTGTTAGCAAAATCATAAAAATATTAATAATGCTAGCTAAATAAACAGTAAACTTGAAATGTCCTCAGAATATAAAAATTAACGTTGTGTTTAGTGAAAAAATAAATTCTACCAATTTAGTAGAAGTGGAAGATTTTTTGTAACTTTTATTTATCATTATGCAGATATCAATTCTAAATATTTCTCAATATTACAAATTATTTATTTTGCCAGTGAAATTTCTTTATTTTATATTATGTTGAAAATATAAAATGAAGGAAGTAGGACAAGCTGCAGCACTCAAGACGTTAAGCGTTCCATTAATACAATTTGCTGATATACGTCATTTGATATAGCTTGCTTTCACTCATCCGTGGTAAAACAAAGCGAGACAAAATATAATGCTTTAGCCTACAACGTAAATCGCCCGTTTCGCGGTTACTATGACGAAAAAATTGAAAAAAGTTCGTTGATGTCATTGTTTTCCTAATTTATAACATTTTTATTTATTTATTCGTGTATTGTTATCCTCAAAATGTCGACATTCGATCTTAATTCGATTAATTCAGCGCTTTCTGACTCTGGCAGGCCAATAAATGGTGTGGATTTTTCTGGAAAATCATTAAAACTTGACAATGCAAACGATGGTAAGTTTCGTGATTTATTTCAAATTCCTTAACATTTGTAGTGATTTCGAGTTGAAATTCAGTGACATTATATCAAACCTGATGTTTTGTTCTTATTTTAAGTAGTTTTTATATGCATTTTATTGTATTCAAACATAACCTAGAAAGTCATGTTTTATTAAATAACATAAGTTTGCTTTGATTTTCCTGGATTTATCTGTCATGTATACACTTGTTTACATGGTAGTAACTTACTATCATGCCACAGTACCCATCTCAAGGCTATAACTCCGTTAATAAAGCTTAGAATTGCTTATCAAAATAAATCGTTACCGACCGCCCGAATCAGTTATTTTCACAGAGAATTGAGGTTTTGGAGAGTAATTATGCCTGTTTTTAACACTCTAAAATGTCCGAAGCGCTTGGAGAAGCAATAAATGATCCATACAATAGCGTATATAAGCTATTTTATTATCCCACGCCTTGAGATTCTCGATAGTCGTTTTCTTTCGAGAATCTAAGTGTCAGTGGGTCGTCTTGGAGCGGGTTTAAGGGATTTCTGATAAACAAATACACCTAAATAATGTAGAAAGCCCTTTTTTATATTTGTAATGGGCCTGCGTTTGGACTTCGCGCCTTTGGTACGTAATGATACCTATGATAGTACATGCCTACCCAAAAAGCAAACCAATTCCCTCTCTTTGAAGGCACCCAGGTTTTACCCCAACAGAAAAGGGTAAATAATTCCACTCTTCAGTGGTTCTGATGATAAAACTGGAGGCAAATAGCTTGCGTATGTCACATCAGCATCTTACATTGCATGAGCGGTGATGGTTTGCGCAGTAATTTTTATAATGACTATAAGTAACTAGCTGACCCATTTTTGGCAATTAAAAATAAGGGTTGATCGTAAAAGGGTGTACTGTATGTATTTTTGTATGTTGTATCATAAAAAAATAGAAATAAAAAATTTGGGATGGACTGCCCCTAACATTTAGGGGGATGAAAAATATAGATGTTGGCCGAGTCTCATAGATACCAACTAAGCACAAAAAAAAAACATTAAAATTGGTCAAGTCATTTCGGAGGAGTATGGCAACGAAAACTGTGACACGAGAATTATATATATTAGAGACTAGCGGCCCGCCCCCGCTTCGCACGGGTCCAACTATCTCGCTATCAAAGGGTCACTTTTTCCTAATCTTCCCCTCTACTTTTCTAATATTTTCTTTCATAAGAACCTTCTCCTGACAATTACAAACACAACAAAAAAAGAATTAGCAAGATTGGTCCAGGCGTTGTTGAGTTATGCGCTTACCAACACATTTTGCGATCCATTTTTATATATAAGAAGATAAGCGGATAGAGCACAACTCTGTAACTGTACCTTCTTTAATCCTTTTGTCTGCCCGTATATGAGACACAATAGAAAACGCATTTTGTCTCTCGTATATCTCTGCTCAGGTATATAGCTGGTTAAACTTATAGATATTTTTTTTTAAAGTACGAAATCATTTATTTTAATTTGACCCCTACAGGCACTTTGAACATCAAACAAAGCTTTTAAAATATTATGTGTGAGTCCACCAAACTCGTATGTAGATTCCTATGGAGAAGAAGAAGCAAGAAACTCCATGGTCAATCCTTTTCAATCAGTTTCACATACAGATTCTTTGCACATAGAGTTTTTATATTTAATTAAATTTATATTCGTTCCAGCACAACCAGTTGTGGATGCAATCAATGGCTGCGCAGACCTCCAGTACCTCACACTTACGGGCAACACCCTCGGGGTGTCAGCAGCTGAGGCTATTGCGAAGGCTCTCGAACACCACCCAGAGCTGAAGATTGCTCGGTTCTCAGACATGTTCACTGGGAGAATGAAGACTGAGATTCCTTTGGCTTTGGTGAGTATACATTTATAATAATAATTGCTGGCTGATGTCCCATTTCACTTAAATTGAAGTTGTTCAACTGGCCTCTACATGTTGGCTTCGGCCCCTCGTACGCCTTCCAAAGGTCCGGGATCCTGTGATCCCGTGAACGGAAACAAATAATAATAGTCTTTATTTCAGATGAATGTCCAAACGTAATTACAAATTAATATTTGTCAGCTATTAGCTACATTTGAACTTCACAAGTGTGTTCCTATTAGCTAACCTTTTTCAAATAAATTGACAATCCACACACAAAAGAATCTTGAAACTACTAGAACTTTCCTCAGCTAATTTAATTTTAACTGGCATTTGGTCGCGACGTTGTTCGCACGGACTTCCTGCAGATTTTTGGTAGAAAAACTATCCTATGTCCTTTCTCGAGTTCCAAACTATGGCTGTACGAAATTTCACAGAAGTTCAGTTGTTTAGGCGTGAAGAAAGGACAAATAGACAAATCTGTAGGAAGTCACTATTCCACGCGAACCATTCTAATCCATTCTAAGAAGCCCGCTTCTCATGCATGGGTGTGGGTTGACTTTTTCCGAGTTATATGTACTTTCTATAACTATTTAGACACTACTGATATAATAATATGGTGAAGGTTAACATCGTGAGGAAACCTGGACTAATAATGTCTAATTATAAGTTTGAAATCGCCAACCCGCATTGAGCAAGCGTGGTGATTAATGCTCAAACCTTCTCCGTATGAGAAGAGGCCTTTGCTCAGCAGTGGCACTTACAGGCTGATGATGATGATGATGAGTGTTAGTCCTTACAGCTAAACAAGTGTTTCTTGTTAAAAAGGGCTATCCTTAACCGGTTTCTAACAAATCAGTATGAGCCAAGTAGACCGTAAAACCGCGCAAGAGTACCTAGTCTAGTATTAAAATTATTTCTTTTTCAGGCTGCGCTAGGAGATGGTATGATTAAAGCAGGCGCTAGACTGAGCGTTCTAGATCTGAGTGACAACGCTTTCGGGCCAATCGGAGTGGAAGGGCTGGCCAAACTCCTGCAAAGTGATGTCTGCAGCGAATTGGAGGTTTGTAACTGTTTTTTTTTTATGAAAAGAGCAGACGGATTACCTGATGGTAAGCTAGCTAGAAGCGCGACAAAATCCGAAATGTGGAAATTCGCCAAAGAACCAAAGTCACCGACATAGCTCGTAAAATCTGCAAGCTAAAGTGGCAATGGGCAGGCCACGTCGCTCGAAGGACGGACGGTCGATGGGCCCGAAAAGTGCTAGAGTGGCGACCAAGGTCCGGAAAACGTAGTGTGGGCAGGCTTCCCGCTAGGTGGACTGACGACATCGTCAGAGTCGCGGGGAGACAATGGATGCAGGTGGCAACTTGTCCTTCGACGTGGAGAGCTAAGGGGAAGGCTTTTGTAAAGCAGTGGACGTTTCCCGGCTGATGATGATGATGATGAAGCTATCAGCGTTGTCTATGGACATCTGCAATAACTGAGCAGTTACAAGTGCGTTGCTGACCTTTTAGGGATAAGGTTTTGGAGATTTAGGAATTGGGGTAGTTATATGTCCTTTTTAAGCATATTTTAGAGACCACTGTCATACATATGATAAAGGAAAATATTGAAATAGTAAGTTTGTAATCGCTAATCCTTTCATAGCTTTCCAAGGTTTGAAGCATTTAACCCAAGACTGTACTTTAATGCTTCAAACCTTCTAAAGCTGACGGATTACCTGATGCTAAGCTATCAGAGCCTCCCATGGACATATGTAACAACAGAGCAGTTACAAGTGTGTTGCTGACCTTTGGTCCGATGGCTGTGGGCGTGGTTGCCCCGAGGTTAAGACGCCCGCATCTCATGCATGCGAACGTGGCCAATGTGACTTGTCCAAGTTATACGTACTTTCTATGATTATTTAGACACCACTGACATACGGTAAAGGTAAACATCGTGAGGAAACCTCGACTTGTAATTTCTAATTATAAGTTTGAAATCGCCAGTCCAGTATATTGAGTAAGTGTGGTGATTAATGATCAAACCTTGCTAAGCAGTGGGCACTTCTATGCTGATGATGATGATGATGCTGACGTTTTGGGGATTAGGGAACGGGAAAGCTTCGGCCTCCGTTAACCTCACTTATACGGCGAAAGACATTGTTTATGTTGTTTCACGCCGGTATTCTTTGAGGCCGCAGTATCACTCCAGTCGAGATGACCCATTCGTGCCGAAGCATGGCTCTCTCTCGGTTTTTAATACATTTCATTTTATTTGCAGGAGCTTCGACTAAATAACAACGGATTGGGTATAACTGGAGGTCGTTTGTTGGCCAAGGCATTGGCAGCTAGGCCCCGCAAGCTGAAGATCTTCATAGCTGGTCGGAATAGGCTTGAGAATGATGGAGCTACAGCGCTAGCTAAGGTTTTCCAGGTAAAGTAGGATATGTTATTTACATTAGTCAAATTACCTGATGGTAAGCAACCGCCGTCTCCCACGCAGCCATCATCATTAGATGTATAGGTAGTAGAAGGACCAGACCCGAGCGTAAGGCGCGTAGCGTTCCGCGCGCGCCTCAAAGAGCCAATAGACCACCACAGACGGGGGCCTATAGGGCTGATGTTCAGCCGGGGTGGAGGGGAAGCGCAATGAGTCACCGCGACTTTGGCCCAGAGCAGGAGAAGAAAATGGGTTTTTAGTCAGTAAGAGTCTGACACTCTCTCCCGCCCTATCCTGGGCAGGAGAAGTCATTTGATGATTTTCCCCTCACAGAAAAAGGGTAGGTATCACATAGGTACAAATTTTTTTTTTTATTTCGATCCTGCCATAATACGCGAGAGAATAACAAATATACATTCTTAAAAACTATCAAATCTATACTAATATTATAAAGAGGTAAAATTTGTAAGTTTGTATGTAGGGAGTAATCTTTGGAACCGCTGGTCGGATTGCCAAAATTCTTTCACTGATAGATAGCTACAATGTTCCTGAGTGCTATAGGCTATAAAACATTACGCTACGATCAAATGGAGCTGAGCAGCGGGTGAAACCGCACGACAGTAGCTAGTTTATAATATGTTGACTGCACGGTTTCCGCGGTGGCCGGGCAACTGTCGGCCGCGCAGTGTCGCGGGTTCGATTCCCGCACGGAACAACTCTTTGTGTGATCCACAAATTGTTGTTCCTTGTCTGGGTGTGATGTGTAAGTGAAATTGTATGTTTGTGAACGCATCCACGACACAGGAGAAAATCCTAATGTAAGGCAACGTTTTTTTTAAAAACATTAAAAGCAAATATATAGTAGGATGTCTCACAATAGTTCATATATCAAAAAGTATACATTCTTTTCTTTTTTTAACAGACTATGGGTACTCTGGAAGAGTTGTCGATGCCTCAGAACGGTATCTACCATGTCGGTATCTCGGCGCTGTCACAGGCCTGTCGGCAAAACCGTCGCCTCGCGCGCCTCAACTTAAACGATAACACTGTCGGAGCTAAGGGAGCCGTCGCCATCGCCGAAGCGTTACCCAAGTAAGTTCTTTTTATGTATAGGTAGGTTAGTTCGGCAAATGGCCAGACGGATTACCTGATGGTAAGCAATTAGCGCCGCCCATGGACACCCGCAACAACAGAGGAGTTAAGAGTATAAGGGTTTTGGATATTTTAGGATCGGAGAGGAATGGGAAGAATGGTAGGGTTGGGCGTCCAGTAACCTCACTCACACGACGAAACACAACGCTATGGTTGTTTCATGCCGGTATTCTGTGAGGCCGTGGTATCACTCCGGTCGAGCCGACCCATTCGTGCCGAAGCATGGCTCTCGTGAAAAAACACAGGGTTCTGTTTCGCCATGCGAGTGAGGTTGCCCAATCCTTAAATATCCGAAAATTCTCAAAAAAATCGGCCAACTTACTCATAACTCCTGTGGTGTTGCGGGTGTCCATGGTCTGCCACCTGACGGTAAGCAGAGCGCCGCCTATGTGTTAAATACAGTGCATACTATTACGACTGGATGTACAATATTATAACTATATGTAGTTCTTGTTTTCACTGTAGGCACACTACACTACCCATGGCCAAGTTTCTTTTTTATTTCCATCTAAAGGTTGTCTGGAAGAAATCACCTTGTGTGATAAGACCGTCCATTGTAATCACAACATTCGGTCATAGTATCCAATGTATTGTTACTGGATGTATGTGTGCAATAAAGTATAAATAAATAAATCTTCTTATATATAAAAAAACCGGCCAAGTGCGAGTCGGGCTCGCGCACAAAGGGTTCCGTAGCAGCAAATATAATAAACTTATTATGTCAATTTATACACCTGGTGAATGGAGCCTAAACTCTCCCGATATTTTGCCTTGTACTTTTATGTATGAATATTAATTTTATATATGTATTTATAAATATTCCGTGCTATAGGCGTGCCCAAATCGGCTTGTGATAACTGAATAAAGAAGTATATACACCAGCTTCACAATTAAAATTACCAAATATATTATCCAGGTGAGTTTCACTTCTAGTGGTTATACAATTTTGAAGAAGAGGTGTATATCCCGCATTCTGCATAAATTTATGTATGTAGTTTTGTTTGAGGAAATCTTCGTTAAAATCTCCAAAAATTAGTGTAGGCATAGAATGTTCATTAAATATATATTTGTTCATAAATTCCGAAGTAACTTTTCATGAAATGCGCGAACCACATCATCTTCGATATAGTTATTATAATTCAGAATGTAGGAAAACGTATTATCTAAAGTATCCATTGTTAGATGATATACAATAAGCTTTAGAAATTTTAAAAACCTGCTACGAAACACTAAAATTTGCACCAAAAACAAATGAATTTATATTATTGGGGGATTTATTAGTACGTGACTGGTTTAATAGCACCTATTAAACCAGTATACCTACTTACTTATTTTTTATAATAGGTACAATTCAATATTAAAAAGTCTCAACGCCAAATTCGACTTGCGAAAGAAGTAAATGGGAACGATGAAATTCTCTTAGCGCGCACAAGTGACAACGACGTCTGCCCTCACGTGTCTGCCCGTTCGGGTCGACGCGGTTAGCTATCTTATCCCCGCCCCCGCGCGAGACCACGCCCCGCAACTCACGCGCTGCAGCGCAGCGAGCGACCGATCTTCTTGAATCGATGTAATAATAATATATAGGATTAACGCGTTTTAAAAATATTGGTTCGATGGATATGTTTAACCTATTATTACTCAACAATCACATTTGTAATATTAAACTTTATCAAATGCACAATGTATTTAAGGTACATTACTGGATAAGGATTAATGGCGTATTGCTTGAATAAGCTAATATTTCTCGTAAAAAGTACCTACATTATAAAGATTTTATATCATCGCGGATTTTTAAAGGTGTACAATACTGTAGTATATTTTTTGATCTATCTTATAAGGTTCAGCCATCGTTTTCAGTGTAAGCACAATAACTTAACCAAAATTACAGTTAAATCAACCTATCTCAAAAACTATAAGAGATACTTTGATCAAACCAAAAATCGTTGAAAGAGTTAATTAGCATGCATCACCTCTATTTTTTTTAGAATTTTATACCCCGTAGTTATAAAAATAGAGGGGGGGGGACATACTTTTTACGACTTTGAGAGCTGATATCTCAAAAACCGTTCACTTTAAGAAAAATGTTTTTTAGAAAACTTTATATCATTTTAAAAGACCTTTCCATTGATACCCCACACGGGTATGTACATCGAAAAAAAAATTTTCATCCCTCAGTTACATGTATGGGGGGCCCCACCCCCAATTCTTTTTTTTACTATTTAGTGTCATAATTTTGTAGCGGTTCATACAACACATATTCCCATCAAATTTCATCACTGTAGTACTTATAGTTTCCGAGTAAATCGGCTGTGACAGACGGACAGACGGACAGACGGACAGACGGACATGACGAAACTATAAGGGTTCCGTTTTTGCCATTTTGGCTACGGAACCCTAAAAATGGATCGCAAAATGTGTTGGTAAGCGCATAACTCAACAACGCCTGGACCAATTTTGCTAATTCTTTTTTTGTTGTCTTTGTTATTGTCAGGAGAAGGTTCTTATCAAAGAAAATTTCAGAAAAGTAGAGGGGAAGATTAGGACAAAGCGACCCTTTGATAGCGAGATAGTTGGACCCGTGCGAAGCGGGGGCGGGTCGCTAGTATATAAATAAATAAATAAAATAATGTTTTGCGCAACATATTTGGCTTTAAAGCCAAATATACAAATAGCTGCGCGCGCTCAACGCCAATGTCGCAATATATAGATTTGTTTCTGACTTTTTTCTGCTGACAATAACAGACACAACAAAAAAAAAAAAGAATTAGTAAAATTTGTCCAGGCGTTGTTGAGTTATGCGCTTATCAACACATTTTGCGATTCATTTTTATATATAAGAAGATGTGACCAGCGGTAGGTAGGTTTCCGCTCCCGCGCTATCGGCACTCAGCCGCCCGAACCTACGATCCCACGCGCATGCGTAAGTCATTTATACCGCGTACATCGAGGGATTTGAACAGTTTGCCGGTTGCAGTCTTTCCGTCCGAATACAATTTAGGTGTCTTCAAGGCTAGAGTGAATAGGCTCTTAATAAACTAGTGCGCCTTACCATCAACGATTGCATCACTGCTTACATCAGGTGGGATCGCAGTCGAGCACTAGTTTATAGCAAGTAAAAAAAAAAAAGTTGCCTCGCCGCTCCGAAGCACAGCGCGTTCCCTTGCCGGCAGCCAGCGCTAGTATATATACCTAGTTATCTGTGCAGCCACCGTCACGATCCCCTTCCATGACTCTTCCCGCCTAGTTTTGTGTTTTATATTTGTGTGGAACCTCATCCTAGAAAACTTTTGTAAATGTAATTGTAAAACTGTTAATAAACAAATATACCTACTTATATATGCAGGCGGCTGGTTGTGATCGCGCACAGACTGCGATCTGGACACTTGCCCTTGAATAAGTTTGGATTTTTAATACAAAAATCCGACTCACCAAATTGTGATGTGTGTGGAACACCGGAAAATGTAATACACTTATTGTTGGACTGTACCAGATTTCAGTCTGACTGAGTAAAATTATTTAAGGACTTAAACTTAAATATGTATAATGTAGGTGTATATCACAATCTTTTATATTCAATACGATGCTGAGCCGTGATTTCTTTATAAACATCTTATTTGGTTGTATTGGTTGATTAAACTTTGTAGTTGTGTATTGCAGTGTAATTTATTACTTTGTGTCTGCACACGTTGTAATTGTAATGTTTACAATAGCTTAAAAGTGGGGACCTATAATTGGCTGCATGTTACATAATTTGTTATATAATTAATAAATGTTAATGCTGTTGGTCCTCCAAATAATTAAGAAATTAAAAAAATTAAATTAAAAAGTATGTGTGTGCATATCACAATCTTTTATATATACACAAAGTATTTATATTCGCTAGGTTACGTTTTAGTTAGATTGTATTAATATAAGGTACGATGGGACTGACATAAACGTCCGTGTAAAAGCCCTAATAATGCCAGCCAGCCTAATAATAAATAAAGAGAGAAAAAAACAAATATACTTATAATATCAAGTATTACAAATATATTTTTTCATTAAATATTAGGAAAAATATATAGTTTTTTTTCCGCGTCGAATATCCAGGCTTGTTGCAGAAAGCAATCGCACCCCTATGCAATCATTCATATGCACATGCAGCAAAGGTCCGACCCTCCCACCTACATGCATATGCACACAAGGAAAAAACATGCCACAACCTATACTCGACACCTGTTTCGCCCCTCTGTGCATATGCATATTACCTTTGCTGCATGTGCATATGCATAATTGCATAGGGGTGAGATTGCATCCTGCAACATTCCTGGATTTTTGTTGCCGAATTAAAACTAAATATTTTCCCTAACATTTAATGTCATGGATTTCCGCAAAGTATAACGCCTGATTCTATAAATTATATTTTTTCATTTTTCAGCCTGAAAAATCTGAAGAGCATAAACTTTGGTGACTGTTTACTGAAGAGTAAGGGCGCCAGCGCACTCGCGAAGGCTTTCAAAGAAAATTCAATATTATTAGAGGTAAATACTTTGTTTTGTCTATACTAATATTATAAAGAGGTAAAATTTGTAAGTTTGTATGTAGGGGGTAATCTTTGGAACCGCTGGTCGGATTGCTAAAATTCTTTCACTGATAGATAGCTACAATGTTCCTGAATGCTATAGGCTATAAAACATCACGCTACGGTCAAGTGGAGCCGAGCAGCGGATACTTAAACTTACTTTAATGTTTTGTGAACTGTACAGTTGGCGCGGTGACTGAGCAACTGGCGGCCACACAACGTGTCACGGGTTCGATTCCCGTACGGAACAACTCTTTGTGTAATCTACAAATTGTTATAATGGTATCGTTGTAGGTACTTCCAGTTCTTTTATGGCATAGGTCGTCAAACGGATTACGTGATGGTAAGCAATCGGCGCCGTCCATGGACATCCGCAACGTCTAAAGAGTAACGAGTGCGTTTCGGATATTTAAGGGTTTGGAAGGGATGGGGAGGGATTGGGCTTCCGGTACCCTCACTCACGCGGCGAAACACAACGCTGTGGTTGTTTCACGCCGCTTTTCTGTGAGGCCGTGGTATCACTCCGGTCGAGCCGAAGCATGGCTCTCCCACACTTGTTATATATTCTTGGATATTTTCATTCTTCCAAAAGATAACTCTGCGATTCTCGCGTAACTTTCTGCCCCGCACAGCAAAGCTTTGGAATGATCTTCCGGCGGCGGTATTCTTGAACCGATACGACCTTCAGACCTTCAAGAAACGAGCGTACTCCTTCTTAAAAGGCCGGCAACGCACCTGTGACTCCTCTGGTGTTGCAGGTGTCCATGGGCGGCGCCGATCGCTTACCATCAGGTGATCCGTCAGCTCGTTTCCCTCATATTCCATAAAAAATGAGGAGAAGTCATAAAAAAACAAATGTGAATCTTCAACTAAAAAGTTTTTATTATATATTTTTCAGTCTCTGGATCTCAGTCACAATGAGATTGGGAGGGTGGCGTGTATGGAGGTCGTCGACGCTATCACAGCGCTACCTGACTCCAGTGAGAGGCTCAGCAGGGTCGTATTGGCTGGTGAGTTATTTCTTACTGTAACTTGATTCTGTGAAGGTAAATAGTTGCCTTTGTGGTATTTCAGACAATAATCTATCTCTGTGCCAAATTACATTCAGATCCGTTCAGTAGTGTTTACGTGAGAGAGTAACAAACATACATCCGTACTTACACACTTATTTAAAAATCACTCATCCATATTGAGCAAGTGTGCTAATGATCAAAATGTATTCATGTGAGAAGAGGCCTTTGTTCAGGAGTGGGCACTTATAGGCTGATGATGAAGACATCACAAAATGGAAGAGTATATCCATTTTAATGGATGAAATACCACTATAATTTTTAGTTTAGTTTTAGTCGACTGCACGGTTGATGCTTTGGCTGGGCAACTGGCTGCCGTGCAACGTGTCGCGGGTTCGATTCTCGCATGGAACAACTCTTTATGTGATCCACAAATTGTTGTTCCGGGTCTGGGTGTGATGTGCATGTGAAAATGTATGTTTGTAACAGCACCCACGACACAGGAGAAAATTCTAATGCGGGGTAACGTTTTTTTTAAAGGAAAAAAAACCTTCGAGTTGAAAGTGGCAGCATTGAGGACAGACGGACAGACTGACACGCATAAATTTAACCTATTGAAAAATATTTTCTTTTTCTTTTTTGCTTGACGTTCAAAAGTGCCCACTGTGGCCATTGAAATAAATGTTTTTTTATTTTTGACAAAGCTGTCCCTATCCGTCATCCCAAAAACACTTCACACCAGTCGAAAGGCCCTCGATTTACATCCCCAGACATTTACACTTCTACAGAAAGCAGTTACATTCAACACATGCAGAATAGTCAGGAAATCTTATCAATAAATTAAATTACCATGCTTATCATCCCCAAGGTTGCTTTGGCCACAAGCCCGCATTTTGGCGTATTAACCCAGAAATGGGTGAGGTTTTAACATAAAATTAATGGGTATAGAAAAATAGTTTCTTTACTTAATTTGTTTGTCATCTTTCATACAATCTCGTGTTTAAATATCAGTCACTTATTACATACATTGCAAGTTTAACAAAAGCTTATAATTACAGGTAATAGTCTCGGCGGTGCTAGTAATAAAAAAACGATGCGGGACAAGCTCGGAGCATCCGCAGAATTGAGCGATGGAGAAGGCAGCGAGGATGAATGTAAGCCATTTATGTTTTTATAATAACTATCGTGAGACATACTAAATTAACTAAAAATCGCAGGTTACTCACGTTTATATATTGAGAAAAGCTCTACTAGTTTAGTAGCGCGTGACGTCGCCGCGTCCGCGCACGCTGCTCATGAGGAAGAACCCCTCTGTGGTTCGAAACTAGTCGAGCTTTTCTCAATATATACACGTGAGTAACCCGCGATTTTTAGTTAAGCCATAAGCCTTTTACCTCATACTAGCTTTCGACCGCGGTTTAGCCCGCGTGATATGTCGATAAAAATCAGCCTATGTCCTATTCCGGAGTGTATCCTGCGCCTATGTCAAATTTCGTCCAGATCCGTCCAGCCGTTTTGGAGTGATTGAGTAACAAACATGCAAACATCGTAACTTTTGCCATCAATATTATTAGTAGCACTAGTCACTCCAGCTTTATTTCACCCGTTCCTATAGGCCGTAGCGTGATGTTTTATAGCCTATATCCTACCTCGATAAATGGACTAACATACACAAAAAGAATTGTGCAATTCAAACCAGTAGTTCCGGAGATTAGCGCGGTTTTTTTTATGTAATAGGTTGGCAAACGAGCAGACGGATTACCTGATGGTAAGCAATCAGTGCCGCCCATGGACACCCGCAACGGAGGAGTTACGAATGGGTCGGCTCGACCGGAGTGATACCACGGCCTCACAGTAAACCGGCGTGAAATAACCACTGCGTTGTGTTTCGCCGTGTGAGTGAGGTTACCGGAGGCCCAATCCTTCTCCTTCCCCTTCCCCAATCCCTCCTCAATCCCTAAATCTCCAAATCCCTTAAAGGTCGGCAACGCACTCGTAACTCCTCCGTTGCGGGTGTCCATGGGCGGCGCTGATTGCTTACCATCAGGTAATCCGTCTGTTCGTTTGCCGACCTATTACATAAAAAAATATATATAATATTAGTAGGTGTAGTCAATTCAAACCTATTTTACCTGCTCTAAGATTTTTTATCGATTCGATCGGTCGGGTCGTATTGGTTACCGGAGGCCCAATTCTCCCATTTTGGTTCGGTAAATGGTCAGACGGATTTCCTTAAAGAAAGCAATGCTAGAGACGGTTTTTTGTGGGTTTTAAGATGATTTGAGAATTACTTCAATTATTAAACTGAAAATTCTCCCTCCAACAGACGTGACAGATTCAGAAGAAGAAGCCTCCAACTCTGAAAACGATGGTAACGACGATGATGATGACCAGGACGCGCGCGACTCCGAGGACAGCGCCACTGAGGATGCACAGCATCTTGACACCTCCGCCGACTTTGGAAACGCGACGCTTGATAATTCAGGTAAGACCTTGCGACCCTCTCCAACGCTGATACTAAATGTCTCCACTATTTAACGGATGTCATTATACATATAAACCTTCCTCTTCAATCACTCTGTCTATTAAAAAACCGCATCAAAATCCTTTGCGTAGTTTTAAAGATTTAAGCGTACATAGGGATATAGGGACAGAGAAAGCGACTTTGTTTTGTACTATGTGATACCCACGGGGTTGGTGGTAAAAAGCAATGATGCAATGAAATTAAAATCAGAAAAAATAAAACAGCACTTTTACACGTCAATTTATATGTACAAAAAACTAGATGAAGCCAGCATTTCCTATCTGACTACTCTGAGAAGAAATGCCGAAACAAACTTCGAGGTCAGTCACTTTATAAATATCTCATACTCTGACGATGATAACATTGATATTACTAAATAAAATAATATAAAATTTATTGATAACTTTTCATAAAAGATGATTTATAATAAGCCACAGTAATTTCAATAGTGAAATCTTAGCTATTTATATAATGTAAGGTAATTACTACTTATACAAAGAAAGAAGAAAGAAAAACCATTTATTGAAATAACTCACAATTCTCACAAATGATGCCAGAAGCAAACAGACACGAATATAGCTTTATAGGGACAAAAAAAAACAATGAACATAAAAAAAAGAAAAGCGCTGCCCAAAGTTGAGGTCTGAAGCAATGTCCATTCCCAAGAGCTGAAGGCGGTCGGTGCACTCCAGGGATACATCCCGAAAAGCAGGAGCCAAGGTGAATTTCGTCACTCATGCGTGAAAAAGGGCAGCGCTCAGCATTAATGCTGTGTCTGGCGCACGCAGGCACGATACAACTGACCCACCATGTATCCTCGCCTCGGGACTATAAAATCCTGACGCCATTTCGGCACGAATCCATTATACTATTACTAGCTTCCGCCCGCGGCTTCGCACGCGTTTATGTTGATAAAAGTATCCTATATCCTATTCCGCAGTGTAGCCTATGCCTGTGTCAAATTTCATCCAGATCCGTCCAACCGTTTTGGTGTGATTGAGTAACAAGTAAACATCCAAATATTGTATCTTTCGCATTTGTAATATTGGCAAGGATGCATATTGAATGTCTCACAATAGTTTTTATTTAACAAAATTGTTTTGTACTATGCTAGTTCGGTTAATTTGAATAGGTATACAGGGTGTAAAAAGACACTTACCGAAGCCGTTAACTACGCATACTGTAGTTCTAACTAAGTAGCTTTACGCTAAAATCATCACTGGGAAATGACTTTTATTTTTAGGTATCAAAAAAGTAATATTATTTTATTGCGCGCAATGTAAAGCAAACGGGCTTCGTGTCATTGTGTGCGTAGGTTCACAGCTTAGCATTAAAACGCTGTGATAAGTACGTAGGTCGACGTTTTACTTCGCAACAACAAAACAATTCTGTAAAATAAAAATCCTACTGAGATGCACGATGTTTTTTGTGCGGGTCTGCATTTATTTATTACGTACATTACTGTTAGTAACTTCAAATGCGTAATTTATTTAGAAAAATTGAAAATTCATGTTTGTTTGGAAAAAAGTTTTGTAATAATACTTAGAATTCGATTGCGCAAAAACAATAAATTTAAAAATGCATCTTTGACCTTTAATATCTCGAGAACCCGTGGAGTCCCAGCTATGGTCTTAAAGAAAGAAATGATCCAAATAATGTGTAGAATACGTGGCTTTCGGCTTCGTTAAGTGTCGTTTTACACCCTGTATATTCTAAACTGATATACATGTTGTAATATGTTAATACTGTTATATATTTTATCTTCAGGGGTACAAGAAGTGGAATCGGATGTAGGCAAGTTCCTGGCCCAGCCGACGTTGGAAAATTTGAACAGACTCGGAGCCAACGCACACGATGTAATCGACGCTCATTTACAGGTAATTTTTTCGTATAATACTATTTATTTATATTTTTTTATTTAACAAAAAACCGTTGCCCCACTTTATGATTTTCTTCTATGTCGTGGGTGCGTTTACGAACATACAGACAGACTTTGAACAACAATTTGTGGATCACACAAAGAGTTGTTTACGTTGCATAGCAGCTATTTGGCTAGTCACCGCCAACTTGTTTAGCGTCAAATTGTTTCCTTATTTCTTAAAAGTTTGTTAAAAAATATCTTAAACTTAGTGTATCGATCGATCGATGCATAAAAGTATAGTTATTTTTCAATAATTGATTGGATTGAAACGTCGAATTAATTTATTTTCGACCTAGAAAACTACTTAACTCTTACAAATAATTAACTGTGTAATTAACAATATTACCACACAGGCAGGAAACTATCGTATTGCATTCTTAACGACGATATAGTATTTTGATTATTAAACCACTATAAATTATCTTTCACAGTCAATAAAGGACCCGTCATCACTAATACAGGCCTACGTGGAGGCTACGTTCAGTGTAGCAGGCCTGTCAGAGCAGAGCCCCCTAGCGAGCGACGTCGCGAACAAAATGTTCCCCATACTTGTCAAACGCGCCGGGGAACAACACGCCGCCGCTTGGATACTCGCTAACACTGTTCTAAGCGCGTTGGGATTAATTAAAGTAAGTTTTTAATTGATTTTTGTCATTAGATAAATTGGTCGGCCGGAGACCGAAGCGCCGAATATTCGGCAGCGCTGAATATTCGGCAGCGTATGTAGCCTAAGCGCCGAATATTCGGCAACGCTGCTAGCCGAAGCGCCGAATATTCGGCAACGCTGCGAGCCGAAGGGCCGAATATTCAGCAGCGCATGTAGCGTAAGCGCAGAATATTCGGCAGCGCATGTAGCCTAAGTGCTGAATATTCAGCAGCGCATGTAGCCTAAGCGCTGAATATTCGGCAGCGCATGTAGCCTAAGCGCTGAATATTCAGCAGCGCATGTAGCGTAAGCGCTGAATATTCGGCAGCGCATGTAGCCTAAGCGCTGAATATTCGGCAACGCTGCTAGCCGAAGGGCCGAATTTTTGGCAACGCTGTTAGCCGAAGTGCCAAATATTTGGCAACGCTATTATCCGAAGCGCTGAATATTCGGCAGCTTATGTAGCCGTAGCGCCGAGTATTCGGCGAATGTTTGCTACCAAAGGCATTATCATTCGTTACCAACAAATACTTTTAATCACATCACAGCTTATTACTAATCAGTTTTACTTCTAACTAATGTGCGATATTGTGTAATATTGAGTGAGTGGTGTATATCTTTTTCATGAATATTTGGTACCTACTCGGCATTAAAAGTTACTGATTAGGCCGAATACAGAAGAATAATAGCCGAATATTCCCTTCAACTAAACAAAATATCAACCTACCAGCATATTTTTATCCCACACTCTAATATTACTCTATTTTTTCTTTGCAGTCTGAAGACAAAACACGGCGCATAAGATGGGCTCTTGGGCCTTGTTATACCAGCCTCTCCAGAGCAATAGACGCGCCATACTTCCCGACAGCCCTAAGGGATACCATTCGCTTCTTTGCCAGCAGTAAAAAAAATACTATACCATTCGCTGAGAGTTTGTGTCGATAATTTTCATTTAAAAAGTGTTGTTTAGAATCACCCGCAATTCACTACGCAAGACTTTAGGTATATATATCAAATGATATTTAGTACCTTAAAATTGAAGTACAATCTGCTAATGAAACACTTTTAGTTTTACTACAAGAATGGTCCATTCTTACAGATCCCTTCGTCCCATCGTATTTATTTATTTATTTATATATACTGTCCTAGCTTTTGCCCGCGTCCTTTCTCGTGGAATAGTGAGTTCCTGCAGATTTTTGGTATAAAAACCGACTTCAAAAAGTAAAAAATAAATGTACTTTGTTCAAAGTAATACATATTTTCATTTAGTTAAATAGAAAATAATATTAATAACTGTTTTATAATCTTAAAGTCGGTGCCAACTAAAACTATAATAGTGTAAAAATATTACTTACATACCTCTTGCTAGTTTGATGTTTAGTAGGTACCGATCAATATATTTTTCTAATACTGTTTTTGTTTGGTATGTAGCATTTACTTGGCACCGACTTCAAAATTATAAAATAGTAAATACTTAAACATTTCTAATCTTACTTTCATTATAAATGCGAAAGTTACGATGTTTGGATGTTTGTTACTCAATCACGCCAAAACGGCTGGACGGATCTGGATGAAGTTTGGCACAGGCATAGAATACACTCCGGAATAGGACGTAGGCGGGGCTGGGTGATTCTAATAAGATATGACTCTTATTCTAACCTCAAGCTTAATTTTAAAACAGATTTCGTTAGGGGACGTCCGTGAATTACGTGAGGTGTTTTTTTGAATTTTCTGCCCCTCTCTTCTCTCCTTGTTTTTTTTGTGAGGGGAAAATAATCGAATGACTTCTCCCGCCCAAGGCCGGGCAGGAGGGAGTGTCAGACTCTTACTGACTAAAAACCCCCCTGTTCCTTCTCCTGCTCTGGGCCGAGGTCGCGGTGCCTCATTGGGCTTACCCCTCCACCCCGGCTGACCATCAGCCCTATAGGGCCCCGTCTGTGGTGGTCTATTGGCTCTTTGAGGCGCGCGCGGAACGCTACGCGCCGTACGCTCGGGGCTGGTTCTGGTCGGGCTGCGAGCTACCCTTACTCGCCGACCGCAGGCCCGTGCTCCCCTCCTGGTGAGATGTCTTGAGGTTTTATTCAACCCCCTTCCCCATCCCCGAATCTCACGTGAGGTTTTTCAAAATGTGAGTTTCTTAAGTAAACGCGTTGGATTGTTATTGTAAAAAGTAAAAAACAAATTTGCATCGTCCTTTTATTAGTAAATGATCTTAATCGTACTACGATTACGCTTAAGGTTAAATCTTAAGCATGTACAATCTGGATTAAATAGGCCAAAATAGTATAATTTTTTTTGTTTCAATCAGAAAAAAAAATGCGTTATATTTGCCGAGATCCTCCTCTTTTCAACGGAAGTTTTAGATGAGATTTGACTCGACCCCCTCACGTAATTCATGGATGGCCCCCTTACTGGAATCACACAATTAGTTATTTTGGCTCTCCATTGCATTGAAATTGACAAATATGTGTCCTAAACTTATCTTATATACAACAGTTGTTTTACCACTATTTAATTAAGAGGCGATTTTTCAATGGTTAGATAAAAGTTACCTGGGGAATAATTATGTTGCTGTCGCGTCACAATGTTTGTATAAGACAGTGACAGCAACAATTTTATTCCTCAGATAACATTTATCTGACTATTGAAAAGTCAACCTTTAATCTTTTAATTAGGGAATATTGTCCAATGAAGTAATTAATAATGTATTTTGGACACATTCAAGTATACAATTGGGGGAAGGCAAGGAGGTTTGAGCCTCTGGTAACCTCACTCACACGGCGAAATTACGCCAGCGTTGTTTCACGCCGGTTTTCAGTGAGGCCCTGGTATCACTCCGGTCGAGCCGAAGCATGGCTCTCTCACACTTTTGAAAGTTTAAAATAAGCGAGAAGATAGAAATGGGCATTCTATTTAAAGATTATGACAGTTGCAAATGAGTATAGTCTGTATTTGACTAAGAAAGTAGACAATTTTGTCAGCTTTTTATTGTTGTATTAAAACCTTTTTTAATTTAAATTGCCGAAGTTATTTGAATAGGTTTGTATGAATAAATCGATTTTGTAACTCTTAAGTCTGCTGTGCATACTTAGAGTAATTACTAAATAAATGTTACGACTTGATATTTTGTGTTTTATTTTTATCTGTAACTAGCTCTTACCCGCGGCGTCGCTCCCGTCATTTGAATACCTACGCTACTCTGCCTACCCTACCTTACCTACCCTACTCTACCTACCCTACTTTACCTACCCTACCCTACTACTCACTCCTATCCTATGCCCTTTTCCCAGTCCTTAGCGACGAGCGAAGCTTACGAATTTTCAGCTAAATCGGTTCAGCCGTTCTTGAGTTATAAGTGGTGTAACTAACACGACTTTTTTTTATATAGATAAGATTTTACCTTTTCAAAATATGAAATGACTTCTCCCGCCCAGGGTAAGAGAGAGAGAGAGTGTGTCATTCTTACCGACTTAAAACCCCCTGTTCCTTCTCCTTACCCCGCAACCCCGGCTGAACAAGCTGCGGCCACTATTATAATTACCTTAAGTGACCAGCTAACCTTCAATGAGATAATTATCCGGATTTCACCCTTTTTCTGTTCTACTTACTCCTTCAGGCAACACACACCCCCTCTAAAGTGCATAAATTCTACCTCTGCTATTTGATAAATAAAGTTTATCAATGTGATAGGACGGCTAACTAGCTAAGGGATTACCTGATGGTAAGCAATCAGCGCCGCCCATTGACTACCCCAACAACCGGGGAGTTACGAATTCGTTGCCGATCTTTTGGAGAGGGCTTTGTAGATTTTGGGATTGGGAAAGGATTGGGCCTCCGGTAACGTCACTTTCTCATTTTTTTTTTTTTAACGGGAGGAAATCCTCATGGACTTCCTCCGCCTGGGGAGGGGCGGAGGGGCGTGCCGGACTCTTACCGGCTAAAACCACCCCGGTGTCTCCTCGCACGTGCGCGTGGGGCCGCGGGAATCCACATTCTTCCGCAGCCCCGCACTAGTGCTGGCCCGGTCTGTCCGGGCCTCGTCTCTAGCACGGGGTAGTGAGGTGTTCGACTACCCCGTGCATCCTCTTAGAGGCGCGCGTAGACACCGCGCGCGCCTTCGCCTCGGGTCCATCGGATAGGGGGCGGGGACTTCCCCAAGTCCGTCGCCCCTGGACCCATTCATGGGGGGCGGAAGAGGGCGTTATCCGCCCTTCTTCTGCGCCCGGTGCGTCTTCTGCGGCCTGGGAAGGGAGTGGAGATCTCCCTCTCCCGTTCCGCAGCTTCCTTCTGCGACATCACGTCCTCGCAGAAGGACACCACCGCGTCCCACGACTCTGCGCTACCGACCATACTACGAACCACGGCCGGCAGCGACAGATCGCCTCCTACTTCTGATGCGGTAGGGCGCAGAAGCCTCTGCCGCCATTCCGCCACCAGGACCTGACGGAGCTCCTCTCGGCGCCGCGCGATCTGCCGCTGCACCGGTCTCGAGCCCCGTGCCCGCTCTTCCTCGCGCCATCGATATAATGACGCGAGTACTTTCGCCTCTAGGTCCCAGGGCGGGGATCCGGCCAGGACGCAAGCCGACTTGTTCAGGGCCACCTCCAGGCCCAGGCGCCGGATGCGGTTCACCACCTGTGACACCGCAGCCGTGGCTATCAACGTCGCTTCCCTGTGCGAGCTCCCCCGGGCAGTGACAAGCGTGTCGTCCGCGTAACACGTCAAGTCGGCGCCCGACGGGAGTTCGCCTCTCAGCACCCAGTCGTATCCGATGTTCCACAGGAGCGGTCCCAGGACCGATCCCTGTGGGACACCGCACGACGTGAGGCGCCGACCGGCACCGTCACGTCCCCGATAGGTGACGCATCTACCTTCCAGGTAAGCCCCTACTGTACGGCGGAGGTAGGGAGGCACACGATGGTAATGCAGCGCCTCCCGAATACAACTCCAGGGCAGGGTATTGAAGGCGTTGGAGATGTCCAAGGACACCGCCAGCACCACCCCACCCCGGGACACCGTTTCCTCCACCAGGGCCCTCACGCGCATGATGGCATCTATGGTGGAGCGCCCCCGACGAAACCCAAACTGGTTCTCGTCTAGGTTCGGCCCCTCCCTGCACAAGTGGCTGACGAGGCGATCTGCGATAATACGCTCAAAAAGTTTGCCCGCCTCGTCTAGCAACACTATGGGCCGATACGCGGACGGCGAGTCCGCGGGCTTCTGGTCGACCTAACCCAAGCTTCACGAGCTTAGTTTTATTTCATCAACCCAAACCTATATAAGCGGCCCGCTTCTTATTCCTTACTAACAATGAAAGGGTCGTTATTTCCCCTCTACTTTTCGAATATTTTATTTCTTTAATATGAACCATCTCCTGACTACTACAAACATAAAAATATATTAAACATTCTCTCTTTCCTCCCGCCCAGCCTTTATTCTTTAATCCCTAAAAACCAGCAAAAGGTCGGCAACGCACTCTTGACTCATTTGTTAAGCAGGTCCTTCCATCGCCGCCGCGCCGGTGCTGTGTGCCGGTGTGTTTGCCAAGCTTTACCATAAAAAAAGATAGATAAAACATCAGATAGGCCTCAGGTAGAAATAAAGTGGATCCTAGATATCTTAAAACACAACAATGGTGCGGTTTTAACACGGATATCCATACAAACATTCAAATCCAAAGTTTTATTTTGGCCTGCCATAGCGTCAGTCTGCCCTGAATTCCACGAAAATAATTTAAGCATCCCTCAGATGTCCTAAGCTGCCGATATAGGTAATTACGCGATTTCGGTATAACAAAACGTTAAACTGATTTGACATTTGACACGAAAACATAACCTCTAAAAATCTTGCTTATCTGATCGCAATAATATAAATTGATAAACCAGTAATAAAACAATATTATAAAGATAAATAAAGTGTATAACATTTATAATTATATATTAAGAGTAATATTAGTTCTAAGGTGAGTGCTTTTATGTATATTTCTTTACTTTTATTGGTTATAATCTGAATCATGATTTCGTATGTTTACTGTCGGTAATTTAGTCGGCTTTCATACGTGTTTTTTTGCTTATTAATTATTTTATATCCTTCTCCGTAAATCT